GAGCCCGGCCCCTCTGCCTCTGCCGCGGGGCTGCTATCGGAAACGCTGCTACAGATCTGCCTCTCAAAATCAAAAGTAAGCTCCTGAAGCTCAACACGGCAGGGGAGAAGCCTTAGACTTGGAGAAAACCCTTCTCGTATCGACCACATAACGAGGGCAAAGCACGATCCAGAGATGGCTTTCAAAGGAGCCTGACGCCAGCCAGCAGCGCCTTGGCTGCTCCTCCGACCTGCTGAGGCACCGGCAATAAACCAAAACTAAACAAAAAAGAGCTGAGAGAACCCAAAAAATAAATATGTATTTTATTAATTTTCCCTGCTATATCTAGGTCTCCGAACTGCTGTGTGCTGCTCCCTGTGCCAGGAACCAGAGCAGCTACGTGATTTAATGGCAGGGGTTTTGCTGTCTCCCATGAGGAGCGGTTGTGGAAGAGAGAGAGGGGGGAAAACGAGGAAGAAAGAGAGAAAGAACTGAGTGCCAACTATCAACCGCTGCCACCAAAGAGCTCAAAAAATAAAGTATCCCACTTTGTGTCTAATCATTCCTTTTTAAGTCAGAGCAAGACGTTCCAGCCCGGGCTGTTCCGGGCACCACCACGAGCCGGGAGCCCGCAGGGCACAGGGCTGGCACAGGGCTCCAGCCAGGAGTTTAACGGGGCCTGCGGTGCTAACAAGCGGGAATGGCTTTAAATTAAAAGAGGTGAGATCCAGACTAGATATAAGGAAGAAGTGTTTTACAGTGAGGATGGTGAGACACTGGCACAGAGTGCCCAGAGAGGTGGGAGATGCCCCATCCCTGGCAACATTCAAGGTCAGGTTTCCCGTGAAATGGCTAAATCCTGGTGCCGGACAGCCAGCCGCGACGCTGCTGGCACTGCCCACGGCTCCGTCGCTTTGTGGGTGCTGCGGGGAGGAGCGGGCACGGCTCTGATCACCAGCCATGTGTTTTTTGGAGCACTGCAAAAAGTCATCATTGATGGCTGAGGCAGAAGACGCTTTCCCAGCGACTCGTCAAACCACGGGGGAAATTAAGACGGCTTCCTTTTCCGAGATGAGTTACTGCCTCCGCAAACACAGCCAGCTTTAAAGCAATTTCCTGTCAAGTATATTCATTATGGCTGGGGGAACCCCTGAAATTTTCCTAGAGCTGTGAAATCCTCCCTTCTCCTCCATCCGCCGGCTCCAGCGCGATGCCAGCAGAGCTGTAGGCACAGCCATCGGGGCAGCCACGTTCGTGCCACCGGCCGAGGCCGGGCTTTGCAGCACAGCCAGGACCCAAAGGGACATGGACGGAGGTGGCTCACGACACGGAGAACAGGGGTGGCCTTTTAGTGGTTGCTGGTGATCTGGCCTGCCACGTGCACGGGAAGTTGGAAGGGACACAGCTAGGACAGCTAACCCAAACTGCCCAAAGAGATACGCTATTCCGTACGATGTCATGCTCTGTACATAAGCTCTGGGAGTTGACCAGAGGGCAGCAATTGCTGCTCAGAGACAGGCTGAGCCCATAAATACCTGAGAGGTAGCTCAGACACCAGGGTGAAGGTCACAAAAGCTGCCATTAGGAGGGGAACCAAGCCTTGCTGGGCAGCCTGCCCTTGCCTGACGGCTCCAGGGGCAGCTCCCGGCACGGCCCACCCGAGAGGTACGCTTCTTCACTAGGTCTTCGATGCTTTACTCACCATGACAACACACAGGCCAGGGCCCTCAGTACTGCACAGGTATGTAAGAAAGCAGGCTCCTGCTCGTCAGAGCCTGGAGTCCAGGGAGATGATGGGAAGAGCTGCATCTCTGCTCCCCCAGACCCTGCTGCACCTGAGCTGGTGGCTCCTCTCCCCTGTCCGGACACACAGGGCACGGCTTGGTACCACCGGCAGGTGACGGGAGCTCCAGATTTTGTGCTGTTCTCCTCCCCTCCACGCTGCTGCACAGGACCAGCAGCGGGGGCTAAACCCTCTCCTGAACTGCTCGGGCAGGCGGGTGCAGGCAGGGCTGGGAGCAGGCAGCTGGGTGGCAGAGGTGACAACGCTGGCATCATCACCAGTTCTCAGCCAAGCCAGGGGAAGGGGGCTGCTGGGGCAAAGTAGGAGATTACGAGCGAGAGATGTATCAGAGGTAATAGCTCTCTTGGATCCAATTTAAGACCCTGTTCAGCCATCTGTGAAGACATACAGTGGAGTTAACCCCATGTCCTGGAGACAGATGAGGAAAGGGATGGGTCATCCGAAGTCCCCCATGGAGAGCAGCATTCTCCTCCCGACGCCAGCAGCCCGGTCCCTCAGAGCCCCTGGACCGCACTGACCTGCCCGCAGCCCCATCCCCCTGCGTTACCTGCGCAGGAGCAGCTTGGGGTGGTTCTTGTTCTCCAGGTTCTTCTCGATGAGGTCGGAGAGCAGCTGCTTCAGCACGTCGGTGGCGTACTCCAGCTTGCCCTGCAGACCCGTCATGATGAGCGAGGCCACGTTGCCGCGATCGCGCATGGAGAAGCTGCGCTGCAGCTGTTCGGATGAAGGGCAGCAGGAAGACTTTGTTGTTGATCAGCTGAGCGAAGAGCTTCAAGGCCTTCTCCACGCTCTGCTGCCCGTTCCCTTGGACCTGTGGTGGAGGAGAGCACAGCCATCAGCCAAGGCGTGGGAGGACCAGGGACCGAGGGGGGCCCTGCACCCGTTCAGCACTATGGGTGGGCTGAACAGTTTGACCCTGGGTGCACAGGCAAGCACCCCGTCTCTCAGGGCCTCAGCAGCCCCAGACGCGGTCTCTGGCCAGTCCTGCACCAGCACCCCTCTCTCCGTCCTCCCCCAGCACGTCAGCACAGCTCGCCCTAATCGCTGCTCCGAGCTGCACTCCCTGCGTGCCATAAAGCTGCTGCCTGGAGGCTAACGGCCCTATAAATGACACACAATTTGCTTGTTCTGCACAAAAAGTGACACTCCCGTAAGTAAATTAAATACTAATTTAGACTCTTGCTTTATTACGAGACAAGTGTAAAAAATTAATTGAGGTTTTCAGCCAGTTGCAGATTCAAGTAATTCATTACAAGTGAAAATGATGAACTACATTAAGCAACTCTTTACCAAAGATCTTGGAGACTTATGTATTGGTTTTACTAACGTTACATAATTAAGCAACTGTGTAATTGGCAACACATTTATCACTTCTGAAATTCTGCTTTTCACGAGTAAAACAAATAAAAAGCATTCATATTTGTTTGCTAGAGCATCAGCTTATTTGGCAATTTAAACAGTGAACATAACGTGTGGGACTGGAAAACTCCAGGCATGGGAATGGGCTGGGAGCGGCTGGTTCAAAGCCTGTGAGAGTTTTACCAACACCACGGCCACTGCTCAGTGCTGGTGGCCACTGGAAACCAACCTGACCTGGTGCCTTAATGCTCAGCGCTTGCCTGGCAAAGCAGCGGTGCTGGTGGAGCACAAGCAACCAAGACCTCTCCCTCTTACACCCCTGGCTGAGGATCTGGGCCACCCCTGCCTGTGTGAAGGCAACAGGACTCCCAGGATTTACGGGAGCGTTGCCAGTCTCCGAGAGGGAGCGCCGAGCCCGGTACCTCTGGGTGTCCCGGGCGCGAGGAGGGCAGCCCCACGCTCCGGGGCAGGTCAGCCTTCCTGAAGCACCGTCAGTTTTGTTGGTGCTCCCACGGGCGAGCAGGGCCCATCTGCACGGCGACCTCATGGGTGCTCTGATCTTATTGATTTTCCTCTCTCCCGAGTGAAAATCTCACACGTCCATTTGCACGTACTGGTGGCAAACCCAGGAGGCGAAGGGGCCTGCTCCCAGCCCCGGGCAGCCTGGGCACGGCGCTTGTCCTCCCGTGGACACGCCACGAACAGCAGCCACCGCAGGATGCTCCAGGCAGGACCCTTCCCCTGCACCCTAAGGTGATTCAGGACTTTAAAAGGACACCTTTAACATATCTGGCGTGCTTTGCTGCTGGCCTATAGCAATATAAAAAACCCATAAAATAAAACTAAAGCAACACCAGGGAGAAGAAACCGAAAGGAATCCCACACTGTGCGATGGAGATAAAACACCAGGTTCGTAAGTGAAAATGAACCCAGGGCTCATCCTGCTAACCCCAGCGCCTCTAATAAGATTTGCTGTGGAAGGCATAAAGATGCTTCAGTGTTTCATGGCTCAGGGAAGCTTCGAAGGGCCGGAGCACAGCCTGCTCCTTACCTCCAGCTCCCTCAGGACAGGATGGTCCTCGATGCCGGGGAAAAGGACCCTCATGGCATACGTCCGATAGTCGAGGTACGGGATGCCGGAGCGATCCAGGTCGCTGGTTAATTCATTGATGTCCGTCTGCAGCTCTGCAAATGCTGGTCAGGGAGAACAGAACAAGACACAGAAACCCACGTGAGGTCCGGGAGCCGTGGCTGCGGGGCAGAGGCTCTGGGGAGGGGTGGCTGCCTGCTTTCCTCGCGGCCACGGCAGCAGCCGTAAACGGGCCAGCTCGGAACACCGATCTGGAGGAGACCTTGCCGCGTAGCTCAGACAGACCCTCGCCCTTGGAGACTCTGTCTCAGCTGCTGAGAGCAAGAGAGCACGCACTGCACAGAGCAGGAGCCGAGAACAAAAGATGCTTATTAATTTGTATGCAGTTCACACCTGTGTATACACACCTAATGCACCTTTAAAGCCTGCAGACAGAAATGCGGGTCTATTTCTGTAACTTGGTACCTCCCATATTTTCCTTTCTTCTTCTCCTCCTCCTCTATCAAGAGTTGCCAAAATAATCAAATCTGATGCAGATCAAATCCAAGCAGAAACTGCCTGCTGCATGGGTCAGGAAGGAATTTATTCTTCCTCTTCTGACACAGCATCACCGTGTTACACAGCTGCATGTGTCCCCTTGTGTTTGTTCTCCAAAGTACGAAATGCTGGGTCAGTAAGGGCTCTGCACCCAGCTAGGCTGTGCCCAAGTTGATGCTGTGGTCTCTCCTGAATATATCTCTTTTTTTCTTGTCCTGCGCTTTCAAGGCTGTCCTTTTAAAATCAGCTGCACAAATTCAGTGCAACTCTATATACACAGACGTCACACTATTAAATTTCCAGCTATTTATTTTATTTCGATTCATGAAGCTCCCTTCCAGCTAGCAGGCCTTACGAAACAACAGCAGCACCCCTCCCCAGCACGCTTTTAGTCTCAGCCCTCCAGCCTCCAGCACGACTGCCCACCTCCGCCTAACTCTATATACACAGACGTCACACTATTAAATTTCCAGCTATTTATTTTATTTCGATTCATGAAGCTCCCTTCCAGCTAGCAGGCCTTACGAAACAACAGCAGCACCCCTCCCCAGCACGCTTTTAGTCTCAGCCCTCCAGCCTCCAGCACGACTGCCCACCTCCGCCTCGGCTGCCCTGCGGAGCGGCCAGGCTCAGCCCCCCCCCTGCCAGGGGCCAAGCCCCTCTGC